AAATTCATCAGACCCTACCCGATAAAGAAAATACACAGATGTCTGTTAAAAAGTGGCAGTCATAATTCTGCTTTTGTGTCATTTATATTCATTTTCTGTTTGAAAAATGGATTATTTGAAAAAGTCACTTAACTGTACATGAACAAGCAAAACAGTTTTTYCCTTAAGCAGTAGCTTTTATTGTAATTGCATCCTATCACAAAAAGATTATTTACAACTCTGACGAACGTCCCTTTGTTATTCGGCATGAAAAGTAAATTTTTGCAGGTGTATGGTTTCTCTGGCTCACGTCTCTCTCATAATCCATCATTCATTTCGTTAGAGAATAAACTGTCTTTTCTAAAATCCACTTACACAACATTGCCTGTTATTGAACTTTTTATCCTTGTAAAATGCATCCATTAGATCTAATTGCCGTCAAAGGGGCAAAATTACCAGCCATTGTCGCAAAAAATAAAATCCGACGCAAGTTTTTGCAAGATTTCAAACACCTGGCAAGACAAATGCACTTGAAATACGTTTCCCAGGGTCAAAGCAAAACCATTTGCCCCTTCCACGTCAGATATACCTGGGATCTCTCAGTGCAAAGCAGTAGCTCTAGAAACCTACCTGAAGGAAGGTAAGAGGCATTGCCTTTATTTTTGTTTCCTGCGGAGAGAACGACAGGATTCTTAGGTCTTGACTACCGCTCGTATTGCGGGCACAGCTACCGTAAGCAGGGAAACTGCTGACAAAAAGGTATAAGGGGAGCCATGGGGAACAAAAATCAAGTAATCGATTTCTATCCAGGTCCTGTGTTTGACTTTGAAATTCTTTTTCAAGCCATTGTTCTCCAAAAAACTATGCACAACCTAAACGTGAGAAGAAAACTATTCATGCCCTAGAAAATTGTCCAACCACCATCCCCCTCCCCTCTCAATAAAGTAATGGTCCGTTCCTAAATTAAATCTATTAAATTAGAAGTTTCTGTCCTCTAATTTACTAAATAATGTCAGCTATTTTTTAACCCTTAGCAGAAATGGAACAATTACAAGAAGAAGCCTATTGATCTTCGTTCAAAGAAATGACTGTTGAATATTTTCCAA